AACTTAAATCTTCAACTACAATGGACTGATTAATAAATTAATTGTCTATTTATAATGGAATATTAAGTAGCTATCAAAAGCATGTTTTAGAAGAGTTAATGACATGGGAAAGTGCAGACAACTACATAAAAAAATTAAAACATATGTATGATCTTAAGTCTGTTAAAAATTATAATATACACATATACAAATACTAAGATAAGACTAACTTTCATTTGGAAAAAACAAACTGAAGCTGATTTCTAACTAAGTTTCATTTGACTAACTAGTGGGGGTCTATAATGAATCATCGATAGGTATGCTGGGTCCCTGCAGTGAAGAAAGCAGCAGCAGCAATAACAACAAAAACTAAACCTATAGGTCTTTGATAGGAAAGAAATAGTACTTACGTTAACAAAATCTCCACCCTGAATCATGAAATCCTTTATGACCCTGAAACAGAGAGCAAAGGATCCTGAGAGAAGATCCTATGGTTTAGAAAAACACTGATTTAGTCATTGTAGTATTAGATTAACCTTGATTTCATAATACAGTGTTTATCACTTTGACTTACAAAATGATCATTCTTTCCTGGAATGAGTAGGTTGAAAGAGTTATTAACTATAGAAAAAGGAGAGGGCTGGCCAATTACTTCAGTTGGTTAGAGCATGGCCTTGTAACACCTAGGTCAAGGGCTCCATTTCCCTGTACCAGCCAGCCAACAAAACAAAAACAAAACAAAAACAAAAAACCATTAAAAAAGTCTTTTAATTATAAATAAGGGCATCTTAGAGTTGATCTAAGTGCATGATCTGGTACCTGAACAGTAACAAAAGGAAGGAGCTGAAACCCTGTAGAAAGAATTACCAAAAAATTCACCAAAGCAAAAGGCAGGCTAAGGGCATGATGTAAATTTCAGGGCAAAGGGCAAAGAATATATGTGAAATGGACTGCTACACACAGTTAACTGTTAGCTATTACCCCTAGACAGGGTCCTTAATCTTTCTTAGCTTCAGTTTCTTCCTCTGTAAAATGTACATAATAACACATACCACTTCACAGGATTGAGGAAGCTTATTGAGAATTAGAGACCATAGCTCTAAAGTTCTTGACATAGTTAAAAGCTAACAATGTTACTAACCACAATGAGGCTATGAGGCAGATTCTTTATTGAAATGAAACTGAGTGCTGCCTGACTCTATTTGCAGTAGCCCCAGGGAATGCAATTATCCTAGGAGGGGCAAATATAGTCATTTTAAGAACTACTTATAAATACAAACCAGCAGGATATATTATATGCACTTAAGGAGTACAACTGTAGCTTTTTTAAAAAATTTGCATTCACACAAAAAAGGGTGTGAAAAAGATGAGATACTGGAAGGATGCCTAGTTTCCTTCTATTTTAAATACATAAAAAGAATTAGTGGAGGAGTATAAGTAGAGTTAGAACATTAAATAATCATCAAGCCACTTGTTGAGTCCACAAAAACATTTCTTCTCAAGATTTAAAGAATTAACCTCTGGTTTTATTTTCCTTTAAAGAGCCTAATCAACCAAAGAAGTAATTCTGAGAACCCCCAGGATGGTTTTGCCAAAACCCTTACCTGTGGAAAGTGCTCCCTTTGTATCCTATCGGAACCCCATCTTTTCTATAACCAAAAGAAACAGACTTGGAATGATGACAGGTAATCATAGACCTTTCTAGTTTAGACACACTAGAGCCAAAGGGAAGGTCGAAAGAAGCGAGATAAAGACGGCAAATGAAAGAAGGATAGACACGTGGGGTATTACCTTCTATCACTGTCACCAGCAATCACTCAAGGTTTGCCGGTGGTTCCCCCAAACCCTCACTGCAGCCCCAGGACACTCCTTAGGAGCAGGCAGAGAAGTCAAACACGTCTGTGACTGACCTGAATTCTCCAGTGCAGAACTGCCTGAAAGGAAAGAGTGAACGATTCAGTCACCATGACATCACAGCTATAAGCGCCTCTTATCTCTGAAGGGAAGGGTACATTGGAGCCGGCAAGTCCACCAACCGGCCAGCTAGATGTCTAGACACGTAAGCATACAGACTAACAACATAATTCGACACGGGAACAATCAAAGCAGTAACCATTCAAACAGAACAACACCCTGAGGAATCAGATCTCAAGGACAGTGAGTGGACGGACAGAGGCAGATAGACTATTCCACCCACAGACTGACTGGGGCCCAGCTTCTGGCTTGGCTAATCCGGCAGGGCTGGAGAATCTCCTTACCGAAAGTTCTCGGCCGTTTTAGGCACAACGTCTGCAAATAGCTCGATCTTCATGCGGCCAACTTCCTGCAACCGGCGGGAGTAGGTCAGAAGGCCCAGTCCAAGACCGTGAAGGCAGCACGCAGCAGGGAGCACGAGAGGCTGACCCACCCCCCACGCCGCTCGGTCTCCCACCTCCGTCTTCCTAGCCTAGCCTGTCGTTCCGCCCAGTCCCTCGAGAACAGGGCGCTAGGATGGGCGAGACTCCTCCTCCTCCTCTCTCCCCCCGGCCAGCAGGTTGGTAGATTCTGGTGCATTTTCACTTTCTGGCTCCCTGAGTCCGCTCTCCCTGGGTTGGCGAGTTCTGCCTGCCTAACCCCGTGCAGTTTCCCTTCAGCATTGGTCTGGGTGGCCGCCTGGATCTCACCTGGCCGCCAATGCTGACATCAAAGAACACCACGGGGTTCACAGGGCTTGAATTTGCCACCGCCATGGCTCCGACCCGGAAGCAGAAGTCGGGAGTGCGAGCTTCCGGCGAACCTAAACCCGGCCCTGCGGATTCCGTCCGCAGCGCAGGCGCGGTAGAAGCCGGCGGTAGAAGCCGGCCGAGGCTCGCCCCACCCGCAGGGAGCACCGCGCACGGCTCCCTGCGCCCTCTGGCTGGTGGAGGCTCTCCTGTGTTTGTGGAGGGAGTAAGGAGAGGAAAGTCTCGGCGTCTTTTTGCTTAAGATCAATGGGCACCGCATTTACATGGCTGTACGAATCGCAGTAGAAATTGATCTCGCTCCGGCTAGGGCGTTTGGACTAGGCAGTCGCCAGGATCCTTTATTAGCCATTGCAGCTAAGACCTCTGAAGCATCACACATGTCGTGTGTTACCTCTGCCCACTAGTCTGTGAGCCCCAAGAAGGCAGAAGCTCTGGTTTCTTCATCCTCAGTGTTTAGAACAGCCTGGCACGTAAGGCTTGCTCAGTAAATACTTATCCCGTCCTTGAAGTCAGAACATTAGAATTTTCAGTTTTGCCACAAGCTTCCAGTTTTCTCATCTCCAGTTCATTTCCCAGAGCATCTAGAGCTTTTAAAATAACTCTTGTGCTTATAAATCCCTCCTGGCTTCCCATACTGAGAATAACATCCAATTTCCTATATACAGAGCCCTACAATGCATTAATCCAGCCTCCACCTACCTGGTCTTGTATCACTCGCCTTCAGTTACTGTCCTCTGGCTCTGGCTTTTCTGTTCTTCGAGGTCATTGAGATCACTACTCTCTTTAGGTCTTGGTACTGGCTGTTCCCTCTGTCTGAGGTACTCTACTTCCAGATCTTAATGGGGGAGGAGGAGATGCTCTTTGCAGTTCAGGGCTCAGCCCAAATGTCACCTCCTCGTGGGCAACACTGCACCCAATCTAAAGTAGCCCTTGGTCAACTTAGATTACTGTTTTCTTCATGACACTCACCATCCAAAATGATCTCCATATGGTCTGTCTCCACACCTCATTCCCTGCCACACACATATCCTCTTCCCTAAAAGCATATAAACTCCAGGAAAATAGAGACTCTCCTTGTCTGTCTTGTTCGCAACTGTAGCTGCAGCGCATACTATTGAATAGTAGGTATTCGATAAATAGATTCAATGAATTGAGTGAAAGAAAGTGACCTTGGGCAAGGTTCAGAGTCAGTGTATGCACTCGATATAATAGCTATTATTTCCTATATCTTTTGATTATCCTTTCTAGTCTGTGGTCTGAGGAAGCAAGGGATACACACAATTCACTGTGTCTCAATTTAACGGGTCATTTTTATTTCTGGTTACTTCTCCTCTCCTCTTGGTGTCTCTCTCGGTCTCTAACTGAAGAAAGAGGAGGAGGGGAATAAGAACAAGGAGGAAGGGGAAAAGAACAGCAGCAGTCACCCCTCAGTATAATTTTATGGCAACTATTTTAGAATAAATTTTAAAATTATATCCATTTTTAGGTTGTAGAAAAACTAGTACACTCAAACTGAGAGTGAAAATAAACGATGATAGCATTTATTAAGCAGTTACTAAGTGCTAAATACATACTTCATTTTATTTGGTCCTCGCAACCCTATGGGATAGGTACTATTATTGTTCTCATTTTATGGATCAAGAAACTGAGGCTTAAGGAGGCTGAGTAACTTGACTATGGAAATAGTATGGTGGCACTACCCTTTTTAAAAGCAATGCAACAAGTGATGTGCCAAAGTCATATTAACATTCATATCCTTTGACCCAATTAGGCCAATCTTGTGAATTTGTTTTTTGGAGTAATCCAAGAGAAAAAAAGAGTTACATGCACAAAGACCTTCACCACAGCATAATCTCAAATAGTGAAAAATGTAAAAACAACTTAAAATGTCAAACAACAAGCAAATGGTTAAGTAATTTATAGAATATCGTGTGCCTATTGAAAATGGTTTCATTGTATAACAATTAAAAATCAGGCTGTGAAAATGAATATATGATAATAACCATTTAAAATATATGTATTTTAATAAGGACCAGAAAGAAATAACTCCAAAATGAAAGTAGTTGTGTTAAGAACGTGTGACTGTAAGAGGGGTTTTTGTTATTAAGATATTTGCTTTAAAGTAATTACATTGTTTTTACCTTTGAAAAATAATTAAAATATACCCATGATAATGGAAAAGAATGCTGAATAACCATACATGTGCTCTGTTGAAGAGTGACCTAATTAAATCATGGAACTTAAATCACTATATCAATCAATACAAGGCATTTGAGGATATCAAACAAACTTGAGAAATTCAGTTTTAGAAGTGGTTTAATGAATTCGTCAGTAATTCTGAAGACTCCTAGTTGATGTCCATGGGGATCTGTGGTGACTCTTCTCCATGTCATATTCCACCTTAAGTTAGCAGCTTTAAAAGGTGTAGCTCTAGACACCAGTGACTTTATAGTTCTGACTTTTGCTTTTGTTCTTGTATGCTGTGTGTCTCTTTCAGAGAAGCCATATTTATGTATCCAGTATCAGAATTCAGTGAACACGAAAGAGACTCAGAGGACTTTGGAACTGCCATTGCTTCTTCTGATTTATGTTCTTCAGTCTCTTGAAGACTTCCAACGGACTCTACCAAAGTTTTTCCTGAAAAACTAATAAAGGCCATGTGTGAGGACATTGTGTAGACAGAATTTCTTGGTAGCAGTTTGGGGTTACAGGGATACAGCATCAATAGAATTTCAATTTTTTTCAACTGTCAAACACAAAGAAAACCAAATAAAATTTACCTTAACCTTTGTTCATGGATTATCTCCTATCTTAAGTCAGGAGTCTGTGGGGTGTGGGGGTGAAGGAAGGTGAGGGCAGAAGGAATTGGAAGAAGATTCAAATATTGAATGTAGAGAAAATAATCCCAAAATACTATGTTTTCTCAAGCCTGCAACTCAGGACTACTTAGGCAGCCATGACTCAGGCATGCAAATGACAGTGTCGACTTTACTAACCTGGAGTTTGGTAAAGGCAACATTTTACTCAATCCTTTGAATTCAGGGATGACACTAATTGTTGTTTCCTAAAAGGAAAGAAAGAAAGAATATTAAAAATTACAATGATAAACCATTGCTATGTGATCCTAGAACTTATGCTCTCTCTCTCTCTCTATATATATGTATTTTTATAAAAAATAGATATAATACTTGCACAAAGCATAAAAGGGTACGGAATGAAAAGCTGATTGCCCTCCTGCCCCATCAGTAAGTCTCTCCTTCTCTATCTATCTATCTAGTTTTTACACACATGGCCCTATTCATACAATCTTCATCTTGTTATATATTTTTTGGAGACCATGTAGAAATGTCTTAATCTTTTTTTTAACAGCTTTGTTGAGAAGTAACTCACATACCATAAAGTTTACCCTTTTAACATGTTCAATTCAGAGTTTTAAAAAATATATTCACATAGTTGTGCACCCATCACCTTTCCCTAATTCCAGAACATTTTCATCATCTCCCCCAAAAGCCCCATACCCATGAGCAGTCACTCCCCATTTCTCTCTCCACACAGTCTGTGGCAACCACTAATATACTTTCTCTCTTTATGGATTTTCTTAGTCTGGATATTTCACATAAATGAAATAATACAATATGTGGCCTTCTATGTCTGGCTTATTTAAAACTTTAGCATCATGTTTTTGAGGTTCATCTATGTTGTAGCAAGTACCAGTATTACACTTGTTTTTATGGCTGAATAATATTCCATTGTATGTGTAGAACATTTTGCTTATCATTTCATGAGGTGATGGAGATTGGGTTGTTTCTACTTTTTATTATAAATAATGTTGCTATAAATATTGATGTACAAGTTTCTGGTTGGACATATGTTTTTATTTCTCTTGGATATTAATGTTTTCAATGGTTTATAAATTTCATTTATATTATTAAATATTGACAAATCATAACTGTATATATTTATGAGATGCAAAGTGATGCTACATTATACACATAAAATGTGGAATGATTAAATCAAGCTAATTACCATATCTATCACTTCAAATACTTATCATTTACTCCTCCTATCTAACTGAAACATTATACCCTTTGACAAACATATCACCATTACTCCCAGACCCCAGCCTCTGTTGATCACCACTCTACTCTGCTTCTAGGAGTTCAGTTGTTTTAGATTCCACATGTAAGTGAGAATATGCGGTATTTGTCTTTCTGTGCCTGGCTTATTTCACTTCGCATAATGTCTTCCAGATTCATCCAAACTGTCGCAAATAGAATTTTCCTCTTTTATTAAGGTTGAATTATATTCCATTGTATTTATATACCACATTTTCTTTATCTGTTAGTCCACTGATAGACAGGTTGATCCCATAACTTGGCTATTGTGAATAATGCTGAAATAAACATGGGAGTGCAGACATCTCTTTAACATACCGATTTCAAATCCTTGGTATATAGCCAGAAGTGGGATTGCTGGATCATGTGGTAATCGTACTTTTAGTTTTTATAGGAACCTCCATAGAGTTTCTCATAATGGCTGTGCTAGTTTATATTCCCACAAACAGTGTACAAGTGTTACCTTTTCTCCACATCTTTGCCAGCACTTATTATCTTTCATCTTTTTGATAATAGCTATTCTGATAGGTGTGAAGTGATGTCTCATTGTGGATTTAATTTGCATTTCCCCAATGATTAATGATGTTGGGCATTTTTCACATCTCTTTTGGCCAATTCTATGTCTTCTTTTGAGAAATGTATATAAATTTCCCTCTTAGAACTACTTTTGCTGCATCACATAAGTTTGGGTATGTTGTGTTTCCATTATCATGTGTCTCAAGATAATTTTTTATTTTCCTTTTGACTTCTTCTTTGACCCATCAGTTGCTCAGAAGCATACTGTTTAATTTCCATGTATTTGTGAATTTGCCAAGATTTCTTAATACTGATTTCCAGTTTTATAACATTGTAATCAGAAAAGATAGTTGATATTGTTTCAATCCCCCTAAATTTATTTGGGCTTATTTTGTAGCCTAACATAGGATCAACCCTGGAGCATGTTCCATGTGCATTTGACATGGATGTGTATTCTGTTGCTATTGGATGGAATGTTTTGTATGTCTGTTAGGTTTATTTGGTCTAAAGTCCAATGTTTCCTTATTAATTTACTGTCTGTATGACCTGTCCATTATTTCAAGTGAGGTATTGAAGTCTCCTACTCTTACTGTATTGCAATCTATCTCTCCATTCAGATCCTTTAATATTTCCCTTATATATTTAGGTGCTCCAATGTTAGGTACACACACAAGTATGTTTACAAATGTCATATCCTCTTGATTAACTGACCCCTTTATCGTTATATATATATAATACCTTCTTTGTCTCTTTTAAGAGTTTTTGACTGTTCACTGAACTACCTCTTGCTTACTTGCTCACCAGCCATACTCTGGACCTTGCCTGAACCTATACTATTTTCTACATCTCTCTGGACTTGGCTACTTGTCTGCTTGGATTTTTGGAACATAACTGCTTTTCTTTGACTCAGATGCTTTCCTTGGGTTTGATTCCTTGCCAGACCAGACTAGCTTCATTTTACTTCTCTGAGCCTCAGATTTGCTCATATTTCAGATGGGGTAAGAATAATACACAGAAAACAAGGTTGGTGAGAATGAGGCATATATGTAAAAACACTAAACATTTATTCATTCTCAAATATTTATGGAGTACCTATCTATAGATACAGTGATATATGAGATACAATCCATGCCCTCCAGGATCTCACTGCTGAATTAATGAGATAGAAAAGAAAAAAGGCAATGACAATATAGTGTGTTAAGAAAGAAGCTATGAGGCATATACTAATTGCTTTGGGATCACACAGGACGAGAATGTATAACAAAAGCTGACCCAATGAAGAGCAAAGTGGGTCAAGAGCAGTCTCAGGGTCTGCTGCCCAGTGTGTAACCAGGAGCTTCTTTGCCACAGTCCACCATGATGCCAAAAGCAGGGCTACAGCTATATGAAGATGAAGGGAAGAGAGAGCACAGCAGCCTTAGCAGCCCATACTTCAGATTAAAGACCAAACAGGAAGCACACATCTTACCTCTCCTCTGCGATTCTGGATGCTCCTTATAATGTATTCTAAGAGGTCAACCTGCTGCTTGAGCCGGAGACTATTTTCCTGTAATTGCTTATTTTCTCTATCCAGGAAAAGAACTCTAAGAATGGCATAAATCAGAGGCATAACTAGAAATTTTTGTATCATTACTAAAAACCCAAAACTATGTCCCACTCCCACTAGCTCTGAGGCTTAGACCACGGTCCAGACCTTAGAACCAAGGCTGGCAGACTAATTCCCACAATATTCCAAGAACAAGTAAAAATTAATAAGCTTCTCCCCTGTACATGGTTATTAAGTATATGTGCAAGAGTAACAAAGATACAATTTCAGCTGTTGAGAAATTTAAGAAAGGATACGATTCTCTTTAGGGGTGGGATTGAAACAACAGACTCTGTATCCCATCAAATATTGTAGCTACACAGCTTGTTTCTGGTTCTGATTTCATACTGATCTGGTTCTGATTTCTTGTGTAGAGGTAGAAACACCAGCAGCAGCAATCATTTACCAAGAACTTGCTATGTACTTAGGCACTGTAGTCTGCCCACCCAGTAAGTACTTAAAACTTTTCATGTATTATCTCATTTAATCCTCACAACAACCTCATGAAATGTATATTGCTATGAAGCCTATTTTATAGATGAGGAAACTGAGGCTTAGAGAGGGGAAAGTAACTTGTTTAGGAACATAAAAATAGAAATTCATAGAGCTGAGATGCCAATCCAGATCTTTCAGACTTCTGAGCCTGAGCTTTTAACCACTATATCAGGCTCACTCTCCAGGGCCACGGTTTATCTGGGAGATGTGACAGTATAATAGTTTTTGTTCAGAGATTTGTTTTTGAGTTCTGGTTCTGTCACTTACTAACTTCGTGACCCCTGGCAAATTACAAATCTGAGCCTTAGTTTCCTCATCTGTAAAATGAGGAAATACCCTGTAGAAGAAACTTACTCTAAGGAAAATATCCAAGTCCAATCCAGGTGACCAGATTGTGTCATCAGGAGAGTAAGGCAGGAACAGTATTAAGGCAAGAGTAATGAGTTAATTGTTTTGGGCGCTGACTGTCAGAAGCTATGACATAGTTTGAGAAGGGCAATAATTTATATGGGATATATAAAAGGGAAGACACAGACAGTAAAAGATAATCAGAGACTCTCCAGGCCTTCCCAGAGGAGAGTGTGCCCAAAGCAGTGAATGGGAGAGTTCCAGCCTTCTTGGCAGACCTCTCCCCAGACTATGGTACTGTGGTCTAGGGCCACTAATGAAGTCTACATGATGCTTTGCCACTGACCAGGCCTTCTTTGGACCTTGGCTTCCTCATCCATAAAATAAGGCTAATAAAATAAGTCCTTCTCTCCTGGGACTGGTGTCAGGATTAAGTGAATAGAGACAGAGCTTAGAACAGTGCCTAGCATATAGTAAGTGCTCAAACAAATGTTAATCATTATAGTTATTACTGGTGACATTATCTGTTAAGATCAACCCACTCTCTTTGCTCTGATTCTTGCTCTAAGAAAACTTTTGATTGTAATTAAAGTTTCCTGTGGAGGAGAGAATGCTCAGGCTGGCTAATAACCGACTTCTGATCTGTTTGGAATATTTCTCACTAAAAATTAATACATTGGTATCCTGTGGGTTTCATGAATTTAAGTCATTTTTATGAGCTTGGTTCTCTCTTGGTCTACCTTGATTCCATAGGTATCAAATGATAAAAATGAATGTCAACGCACACAGAATGGCACACCAGAATACGCACAGCCGGGTGATCAGTGAGGCAATGCCTCTGTAAAAGTTCCTATCTGAATGGCCAGCCAGCCTCCTCTATGATATTTTTTTCTTTAATTTCACAACTTCTGCCACTGAAAACAGTGGAAAGCAGAGCAAGATTTATAGAACAGACTGCAAACTCAAAGGACAGTCTCCAGAACCATCTCTTTGTTGAGAGAGAAACATCCTATTCATGGAGTTCGTTGGTTCCCAGGCCATACCTACCTGCTCTGAAATGAAGATATTCTCCATTTGTTGCCATAGATCAATTCTTCTTGCTCTGTGAGTTGCTCCAGAAGTTTCCTTTTTTCTAGTTGCAGGATATCATTTTGGGCAGAGACCTCATCCTGACATGCCTTCTCCTAGGAATTAGAAAGTCCCTAATTACCACAGCTGGAGAAAGAACTATAAGTTTAAGAGCATCTGCCTGTTTCTAAACTCTTTGCCCATGTTTACTTTTTTTCTCCTGTCCTTTAGTCTGCTTCCTTACACTGTCATAATGAATTGTCCCTCATTATAGCTAGATAGTTCTTCTACTTATTTTGGTTATTTTATGCCATGTATTTTGTTTGGACATTTAATCATTCTTTTGCATTAACACTTAAAAATATCTGAGCATTTAACTTCCAATAAGGTCTCAATGCTCTTATCTGTATCCTAATTTCATAGGTATCAAAGCACCAACAAATACAATTGAATTCTCTGAAGCTCCATATTGAAAACTTTCCCATTTAATACATTTCTGTCTGCTTTGTAGTTATATTATTTTTAAGGCAAAGGGAGGAAGATGAGAATTTAGCCACCTCATGTGGCAATCAGTGTCAAGTCTCAGATGACATGGCAAGTCAAGCATGTAAACCAGGTACTGAGACTACTGTGGTGATAAAACTGAAGTTATTTCTAGCCTGACGCTATGTTTTATCTTCTATTGGTCGTTTCCCCCTGTAGTGGATTGAATTATGTCCCCCTAAAACTCATTGAAGCTTGAATTGTTTCCCCCAAGTTTTAAGTATCATAAACTTAGTCCCCACTGTGACTGTTAAGAGGATGAGAAGCCCTATTTTGGTAATTGAAAGGTGGAGCCTTGAAGAGGTGACTGGATTGGAGGACCATGCTGTAGTGAATGGATTAAAAATGGCGTTCAGGGGCGTGGTTCTGAGGGCTTTAAAAGAAGAGGAGAGTCTGTCTCGCCCTTTCTCTCTGCTCCCTCTGCTTCCACCATCTTGCAATGTGAGACCCCTGGGTCACTGTTGCCACCACCAGACGGACTTTGGACTTCCCAGCCTCAGAAATTGTAAGCAAATAAATTTCATTTTCTTTATAAATTAACCAGTTCCAAGTGTTTTGTTATAAGCAACACAAAATGGACTAATACAGCCCCCAAAGCAATAGCTAGTGAACTTACAGCTAAAATGCTAAAGGACTGCGTTTCATTAGAAAAACACTAACATTCTTGCACTGAAAGAGTCAGGCCCAAGGTTTGTACGACTGTAACATTAAAAGCTCTAGGCTAAGTATTTCTAATTCTGTTAACAATTTCCCTTGTGAACTATGCATCCATCAAATTAACATGCTTCTAAGAGATTATACACCAAAAAGAAGGAAAATAACATCTATGAAAGATTTATATGCTCCTGGTAACGCTTTAGGAATTTTATATTTTAATCCTCACGAAAGCCTCATGTGTGTTAGGTAGGGATTATTTTCCCCACTTTACAGATGAGGAAAATGATACACAGAGACTTGTCCAAGGTCATGAAGTATTAAGTGCCAGGGCTAGAATTTGAGTCCAAGTCTGTCTAAGGCCAAAACCCATAGTACCATTCAATGACAGCAAGCGAAACGTTCAATTACTTTCTTAGCCTCTGTTTATTTGCGATCTCTGGTATACTTCAAGGAGATATTTGTGGTTCTTTGGGTGGGTGCATTAGTTTCCTAGGACTGCTGTAACAAATTATGACAAACTGGGTGGCTTAAAACAATGTGACTTTATTTTCTCACAGTTCTGGGAGCTAGAAGTCTCAAATCAAGATGTCAGCAGGGTTAGTTCCGTCTGGGGACTCAGAGGGAGTTTCTGTCCCATGACTTTCTCCTACCTTCTCGTGGTTGCCAGCAATCCTTGGTGTTCCTTGGCTTGTAGCTGCATCATTCTGATCTCTGCCTCCATGATGACAACATGTTCTTTCCCTGTGTTTGTCTATCTGCGTGTCTTCCCCTCTTCTTATGAGAACACCTGTCACATTGGATTTAGGATTCACCCTAATCCAGGATAACCTCATCTTAACTAATTACATTTGTAAAGACTCTACTTCCAAATAAGGTCGCATTATGTGGTTCTGGGTGGACATGATTTTGGGGGGACACTTATTCAACTTATTTGGGGGGAACATTCAAGTATGTTCAGGAAGAAAGAAAGCATGTCTCCTGAAAGCAGGAGGCTGTTTCTGCCTAGAAGTAGGAGGCAGGCAGTACCAGAAAGAACTGGTAATGCAGAAGTAGGTTGATGATATTTCTGGTGGGCCCATGAACCAGGAGAGCTACCTTCTTCTGTATATTTTCCATAGTCTTTTCCTCGTTACAAATCTAAGCTGGATCTGAATATCTAAAAGTTTGACAAATTAATGACAAAACAGGAGGATACCGCAAAAAACCCAACTTGTTTTCCTTTCTCACTACAGTTTAGAGTATCAAGAGGATTTTCTAAAATTTTCTAAAATACAGCACCGTGACCCATCTGTTATAATCCTTGAATGGTTTATTGTGTGTAGTCTGGGGATTCTGCACCTGTAGCCCCATGATAGTCAATGCAATGACTGAAATTACATAGATGCTTTTGGTATCCTTGTCACATAATGGTGGTATAACAAAAACTTGTTGGGTGTAGAAATGAGTATCTTAGGAGTGAGGACAGTTTTCAAAATTCTGGAATGGGCTGGAGATCCTAAGAGAAAACATTACTGGCCCCGTTGGTTGCTCTCCACCTTGAATTTACTAGTTTATCGATCTCAAGACCATTTTGCACTTGATTCCGTTCATCTGTCCCATTTCCTTCTTACCCGTAGACGAATGAGTCACAAGAACAATAAGACAAGCATAAAGAAACCATGATATTTAGAAAAAAAGCTTGAAGGCACTAGTCAAGGACCAATAAAGGAGCAGGGATCACCTGTTTTCACTGCCATCTAAAAATGCGTGGAAGTTTGAGGCAAAATTAGGGCTGCGTAAAGCAGAAATTAGTTACTGAGGGTGATTTGGAAGTCTCCGCTGAGAGTTGCTTAAGTAAAGATATTTTCATTTGAAGGCAAAACATTGATTAAAAGTTGGCAGTGCAGAGTATTTTCAGTGTCCAATTTGGTTCAGCAATACTATGAGTCATATACTTTTTGGTAGGGCTTAAAGAATTACATTGAAAGATGGTACAAAGGAAAAAAATGAAAACAAGGGCTACGAAGAGGCCACAAATAATTAAAAAATGAACGAATTTTCTCTAAGTGGCCGACCACCAGCATCGTCAATGAGATTTTCTCCTTTCATTTTTTTTCTCACCTTTTCCACTTGTTGTTGCAGTGTTACAATATCATCTTCGAGTTGTTTAATTCTCTTATCTCGTACTTCTACTTCATGAACTAAACGATCCTTGACTTTTTGAAGCTTGGCTTTGTGCTGGTGACGTTTCTTATTATAGTTTCTATAAAAAGTAAATTTGAGTAGGCACACCTGAGCACAGTTAACATTCATTTTTGCCTCCCTAATATGTACCTTTCTTGGGTTTCCCTTTCTTGCATATATCAGCGGCCTGGCACCAGATGTGGATACTTATCCTGCCTCACATCTCCTTGCCCCGATGTGGGAGAACGGACCAAGGACAACCCCCTACATAACACCAACTTTAGTCATCTCTGTGGACTGAAGTATCTGGCTTATCCTGGTCTTGAACTGAAGGTTCTGGTATAGCTTTAGTATCCGAGTCTAATTTAGGAAACTCCTTGATTTCTAATCCTTTACATGCAAATTCTGTCTTTTTTAAAAAAATTTTATTTTAAAAAGATGACCGGAGGGCCGGCCCAGTGGCGCACTGGAAAGTGCGCTGCTTGGGAGCACGGCAGGCGCCGCTGAGGGTTTGGATCCCATGTGGAGACCGGTTCCCGCTCACTGGCTGAGCGCGGTGCCGGTACAGCAGAGAACTACATGCATCATCTTAGTTGTCAGCTCTGGCAAAGGAATTGTGACAGTCCAGAAATAATCAGTCAGTTGGGCTAGCCCCATGGCTCACTTGGGAGTGTGTGGTGCTGGGAGCGCCGAGGCCGTGGGTTCAGATCCTATATGGGGATGGCCGGTGAGCTAAATGGCTGAGTGTGGGGCAGACCAAACCATGCCAAGGGTTGCGATCCCTTACCAGTCCAAAAAAAAGAAAGAATCAGTCAGCTATAAAGGCAGCTGCTGAGGCCAAGGGAGTATCTAGAAACAGCAGAAAGAAAATGTGACAAGAATCATAAAAGGTGCCAGAGGCAGAGAGAAATCAATGATAAAAATAAAACTGAGAAATCCAGAAATATTTGGGAAAAAGTAATGTACTTCCAAATAATTCATAGGTCAAAGAAGAAATTGTAGTAAAATGAGAAAATCGGCCTTGGTATCATCAGCACCACACTCTCCCAAGTGAGCCAAGGGGTGGCCCATATATGTAAATTCTGAATCCTGCTGCACTGATTCAATCATTAATTTAAAATTTCCTAGTTCTTGGCTATACCCTTGGACACTGATATACCCACTTCAATCTCATCTAATTTCCAGTTAACTGGGCCTGGTTCTTGGTCCTTGCATTGAGTCTGGACTTCTAAATGCCAGTTCTATATAGGTCCCTGCTCAAGACTCTTAACCTGATTCTGACATAAATCTAAGATACCACCAATAAGCACATAAAAAGATGCTTAACATCATTAGCAATTAAAGAAATGCAAACCTAAAGTATAAGGTGCTACTTCACACCTACTAGGATAGCTAGAATAAAAAAAGGCAGAAAATAACAAGTGCTGACAAGGATGTGGAGAAATCAGAACCCTCATGCACGGCAGGCAGGAATGTAAAATGGTACAGCCTCTTTGAAAAACAGCCTGACAGTTCCTCAAATGTTAAAACATATAGTTGCCATATGACCCAGCAATTCCACTCCTAGGTATACACTCAAGAGAAACGAAAACATATGTCCATACAAAAACTTATACACAAATGTTCATAGCAGCATTATTCATAATAGCCAAAAGGCAGAAACAACCCAAACTTCCATCAACTGATGAATGGATAAACGGACTGGTATATCCACACAATGGGCTGTCATTCAGCCACAATGGCTCAGGCTACAACATGCATGAACTTTGAAAGCATTATGTTAAGTGAAAGAAGCCAGTAACACAAGATCACATATTATATGATTTCATTTATATAAAATGTCCATAATTGGAAAATAGAGAGAAAAAGAAAATAGAGTAGCGGTTGCCTAGGACACTGAGGGTGGGGTGGGAAATCAGGGATAGGGTGTTAACTAAAGGGTATGGGGTTTCTTTTTGGAGTGATAAAATGTTCTAAAGCTGACTATGGTGATGAATGGACAACTAAAAGCCATTGAACTTTCCACTTTAAATGGGTGAGTTGTATAGTATGTGATCTCAATAAAGCTGTTTAAAAAACCAACTAAAAGGGCTGGCCGGTGGATCACTTGGGAGAATGTGGTACTGATGACACCAACGCCATGGGTTCGGATCCCTACATAGGGATGGCTGGTTAGCTCACTTGCGAGAGTGTGCTGCTGACAACAAGTGAAGGGTTAAGATCCCCTTACCAGTCATCTTTAAAAAAACAAACAAACAAACAAACAAAAAACAAACAAACAAAAATCTATGTTACCATTTCAAACTACTATAACAGATAATCAGAGTAAATAAGAAAATAGATTGAAGCCACCATACTACCACTAGGCAAACAAACCTTGTTGAGAATGACTGCTTTCCCACTTAGAATATTGTTATTCAGAAGATGCTTTAAATTAAAAATAAAGGAGAAGTTTTACTTTGAACCTATTAGGCTGTTCATAACACTGAATTACTTTAAACCAAGATTTCTCAGCTTCTGCACTATTGACATTTTGGGTGAGATAATCATTTGTGTAGAAGGCTGTAATGTCACTGTAAGATGCTTAGTAGCACACTTGCCCTCTACCCACCAGATGCCAGTAGCCACAGAATTATCTCCAGACATTCCCTTGACCTGGGAGACTGTGATATTGAGAAATAAAGGTACATATTTGGTCTTCGTCCCAGGTTTCTGGCAAAAAGCTCCTAAAACCCTTAGAATCTCCTCCAGATTGATAAGTACATTTTGCACGCTTATGAAATGACTAGGTGGTTGGAGGCCCCTAGACAGCTTCAGGATGGGAGGCTGGTCACTGGAAAGACCAAGGCCTGATTAAAAGGGTTGGGACTTCAGCCCCATCCCCCAACTTCCTGGGAGGGGAAAGGGGCTGAAGGTTGAGTTGATCACCAATAACCAGTGATTTAGTCAATTATGCCTATGTAATGAAGCTTCCATAAAAACTCAAAGGAACTGGGTTCAGGGAGGAGTGGAGGGGGCTAACAGATAGCTGAACCAAGTTCAGCAGAGCAGAAAGAAGGAAAAGAGCCTAGTCCTTAAGGATACTACTGAGGAGCTGAATCAACCTCAATAATCACCTTCCTCTAGATTTCTTGTCATATAAGAAAAAAAAATTGTCTAAAATATTAGGTTTTCTGTTATTTGTGGTCAAATGCATCCTGATATTTTAAAAACAGAAAAACTACTCTAATACCCTATAGCCCCTGACTTCCCTGAATGCCTGGAAATTTGGATAATGCCTTTTTAACCAAAACAAAAAATCTGAGGAACTTAATCTCCTCTTTGTCACTGTAGACACTTGAGGGCACAGTCACTGAGGCCTGTAATGCTAGGCAGTTCGCATATATCATCTGTCTGATCTTACTTGGTGCCCTAACTCAGTAAAAGGCAACTAATTTTTCCATGACAGCACCTTTGATTTTAAAGCAGAGTGATGAAGACTGTTTATCTTCTCTATGAATCAGGAGATGGAGGCTATACAGTAGAATTAACTCAATGGGGTTGGGCTGTTCAAACCGTGCAATGGACTGGCCCTTGACTGGCTTTTGGGACACCTCTAAGCCCTTGGAATATGCTGCCTGATGAGAAGTCTTTGTATAGCTGGGGCCTCAGGCCACACCAGATAGTTATGCTAACAGCGGAACTTATGGTGAATTCATTTCTGTTCACTTAGGGTACTGGGCCACTGGGGGAGAATGGGGCTGGAGGATGAATAGTTGAGGTCAGTCACTGAGGTACTCCACGTCTATGTGACAGCCTCCACTCCCTCAGAATTCCTGGACACCAAGGCTCAGGTGAGTTTCTTTGGCTTGGGAATACTTCTTAAGTGTTGTCACACATGGTTGCTGGGAAACTAAGTACTGTACTTCTGGTACTCCTGCACCAGGAGAAGAGAACTGGAAGCTTGCTTGCGTCTTGTCTCTCCTGGATTCTGCTCTATGTGCCTTTTTCCTTTGCTGATTTTAATCTGTATCCTTTCACTGTAATAAACCATAACCATGAATATAACAGCTTTTCCGAGTTCTATGAGTTGTTCTAGGGAATCATGAAACCTGAGGGGTGTCTTGGGGACTCCCAACAGAGAGCAGTTACTTCTACTCAGAAGAATCTGACCCCAGAGCATGTGATCTTCCCACGATACCCCACTGCTATCAAATTGGCAAAAGTAGGCAAACAGATTGCTGATTTCTCCTAATGAGATACTTTGTTTTGTACAAGAACTAGGAACCAGGTGGGATGGGAAGAACAAAGCAGATTTATCTAGATGCTAATTCTAGTCAAACTAGGATGAAAGAGCTACTCCAAGAGAGTCCTATGTCCTTGTAAGTTTATGTCTTACCCTTGTTAAGTGTTTTTGCAAGACTCCTCCATTTTCCAGAAGAGTCCCCCTCTCTTTCCTGTTTGCTAAGGTTACATAAAAGAATCATTTAGCTTGTTTTTACCTAAGATTAATTTAGCTGGTAGCCAGATACCAAGCTGAGAAGTTTGGATTCCTGCAGGCCAGAGGAATTCATACCAGACTTAGATAAACCTTGTCAGCCTAGGTGGCAGTGACTAACTGCTGGAGTTGTCCCTAATCCAATTTCTCCTTCTATCATTATAGGTCCCCTGATTTTTTGCAGGGCACAGGGTTGCCCAGTATAAGAACTACATTTTCTGTCTTTCCTTGCTGGTAGATACAGCCATGTGAATAAGTTCTGGCCAAAAGAATGTGAATGGAAACAGTGTGCCTTAACGGAAAATGGCATGTCCTTGCCTTCTCCCCATTTTTTTCCTTCTTATTGATTGGAATGTGAATATGGTAGTGAACTATCTTGAATTATGTGGATAAGGGCAACATGTTAAAGATGCTGGAACTATAACAAGATAGAAGGAGCCTAGGCTTCTGACACATTGAGCCACCATACCAATTCTGTACTGCTTATGTCTGCACTGTTAGATAACAGGAAAACTTCTCCCTTTCTGAAGCCATTCTTATTCAGGGTCTTTGGTAGAGCTACTCGCCCTATATCTCAATTAATGGAGTTGCCTGTAGATACCTGTGTTCATAAACTGTCTCAGGCCCATTTAGTTCTATGGCCCTTGTAGCACCCAATACATAATATGAGGCACACACTTTTGCCAACTGTGTTCCCAGTTACCACCACTGTGACTTAGATTCTTTACAAGGAGATGTTTCTACCTCCTAAATGTTCTCATTTTCCTTTTTACTAGGAATAGTTGGAAAAAAGATACTACCAGGTTTCAGCATGCTCTGGTCTATAGCTTCAGAGACATAACATCTAGCAGTGTGCAAACATCCAACCTGTAATCCTCTGGGTTTCCCAGATGTTCACAGCTTTCACATCATTTGAAACACAACATGTACTTCTGAAATTTCTTTCACTTATCCTGTACGGGGATATTAAAACCCAAGTCTCTAGCTTCCCGTGCCAGACAGCTTCCATCTCTCTTATTCTACCATTTGAATTATTAAAAAGCAAACGTATTCTTTAAAGTAAAAGGATAAATTATAGAAACTTTGGGAAAATACCCAATTCCCAATATGATCAGCATTATGATATTGTATTTCCTTCTAGTCTTATTAACAGCTTTTGTTTAAACATTGTCTAAATTAAAATGTTTTCCCATGTTGTTATCTAGTATTCATAGCTACCATCCTTTACAGCAGTAGTACGTTCCATTAAGTGAATGTATTATGTATTACCTAACTAGTCTCTTATTATTTGGTATTCAGGTTTTTCTCCATAGTGTTATGCATGATTTGAAGAGTATGTTGCTGCAGTACAGCTGGTGAGAGTGTAGAGCATTTCCTTGCCATTGCTGGCTCACTTGCATGAAGAACATGTAGATTTTCTGTTTATTTTTGGCTTTGTTGACTATTCGCATTATGAGGCCACACAATACTTATGTTCCAAAATTTAGGGACAACTTTTAACTGTGTTTAAGTAAAGCCAGATTGTCTATTACTTTGATTTCAAAAAGGCAAGGAATTTGTTCCTCTGGAAGAGTGGTTGGGAAAATATGTAAAAAATAAGTATTGTCTGTAAAGCTCAGGACTGGGATCAGGGGAATGAAAAGAAAAATGAACCTAGAGTTTTGACCATTCCTTCCATTTGTAGTTTTCAACCCTGAAAGCACACTAGAATCACACGGGGATGCTTGTAGAAAAATACTGATCCACAGGCACGATGCCCACAGATTCTGATTTAGTTCATTCATGTTGGAGCCCAGGACTGTGTACCCAGGGTCAAGACCCACTGTTATAAATGCTGTCTACAAATATCATATCATGGAGAAATATTCAGCCTCACTAGCTATCAAAGAAATTCGAAATAAAATGACAAGTAACTTCTGATTATAAGTGCACGTAAAAATAATAGAATATGTTTAGCAAAAGAAGTCAGACACAGAAAGATTACATGCAGTATGATTCCATTTGGATGAAATTCTAGGAGAGGCAGAAATCAGAACAGTGGCTACCTGGGGGAGGTGGGGGAAGGAGGAGGTACAAATGACTGCAAATAGGCAGGAGAGAACTTTAAGGGATAGTGCAAATGTTCTGTATCTTGATTAAGGTGGTGGTTATATGGGTGTATATGTTTCTCAAAATTCATCGAATGATATGTTAAAAAATCTTTGTGTTTATTGTATGTACATTATTCCCCAATGAAAACAAAGCATATTGGGGAAAATTTCATTAGTCTCCCTCCCCCATCAATAATAGCACCCAATGCTAATGAGGATGTGGTGAAATTGTTACTCTTATATAACAATGGCAGAAAAATTTGGTAGGACTTTTCTGAATGTTTGCCAATATACTTTAAGATCCACAGTGCTATAAAAATAAATTTTAAAATGAAAAATATATATACCACAATGACTTTTTCAATGTTAATTTGAACAGAAATACTCAACCATCAGACCAGCAAGTAATTCTTAACTAAATTAGGGTTGTGTTGTGAGGGTTGATTCAAGCAGTCCTAGAGTTAACCTGAGCTGTTTTGCTAAAGTCCTGCTTGGCACTGACTGCTGCTCAAGGCATGAAATATACTGGTTAAAATAGCGTGGCTTCCTAACCACAGGTCCAAGGAGTTTTGTGGCAGTTTGTACCAGCATGTCAGCACTGTTTATTGATAACACTGAGAATGATGATTTGTATCTGGTGCTAGTGAGATCTTAAGAAGGCTCTGCTCTTGAGGCAGGTTACATAGCATGAATATGCTTATGTGACCAGCAGAATACAAAAAAATCTCAGCTGAGACTCCATTTTGGGGGCCCTGGTTCTGAGGTGTGCAGTGCACATACAAGTGGTTCTGGATCTGAGAGAGGAAGTGCATCGAGCTACAACCCTTACAGAGGGAGCATCATTGTAGCTCTTGCCTGACCTCTCCACACCCCGTGCTGTGAGACACCCATGAGCTATGATGCATATCCTTCCTCTAATGCTATTGCTATACTATACCCTTTTCCTGCAATGAGCTGTACATATGTAAGCACTGTCATTTTGGGTTCTCTTAGTCTTCTTTAACAATTGAGCCCTGTTTAACTGCCACTGTTAGTGCAAGGGTGTATCAACTTTATGAAATATTATGTTTTATGAAAATAAGCAAATTTTTAGATAGCAAAGCACAATGCTTATGAGATGATATTGGAAAGAGAATATAAAATTTTATCTAAGCTATGATAGTAAAATGATAAAATTATGTTTATTGACAAGAGACTAGGAGTGAACATGGGAGGAATTCTGGGTAAATTTTCTTTCATTAAAAAATCTGCAATGGGCCGGCCCCATGGTGCGCTTGGGAGAGTGCGGCGCTGGGAGCGCAGCGACGCTCCCGCTGCGGGTTTGGATCCTATATAGGACTGGCCGGCGCGCTCACTGGCTGAGTGCGGTGCGGGCAACACCACACCAAGGGTTGCGATCCCCTTACCGGTCACGAAAAAGACAAAAAAAAAAAAAATCTGCAATGTTGTTTTATTATTTGTGAAATTAAAAAAAAAAATTAACTGCCTAAAGACCAAGTATTATTATAATTTTGGACAAGGAAATTTACCTTATATGTGTATATAAATATCATATCTGTAATAGATATAGATTATATGTTATTATATATAACATATATTAATAATATTCAGTGTCAATTCATTTGGCAAACATTGTGGCATTTTTATATACTATAGATCTAGCACTTCATTCTCTCTCCTTCCTCTAATAGCAGGATATAATGAAGAAAGAACACTGTGTAAGTTATCAGAGGACTGAGTTTCAGTCTTAGATTTTTGGCAGCATGAACTGAACCATGTACACTCCCTTTACCATGGTTTCTACATTTCTCAATACGATAATCAAAGCAAGAAAATAAATACCAATGACTGAAAAATATTCTTTGCTGTAACGCAGTAAACAATGGTTTTTAAATCATTAATACCATCAACACAGTAGGTGATAAGAACATAATAAGAAACTCAACCTACAGATGGAATAGAGCAGAAGACTACAGAGCTAGGAGCAGAGAGGTGGGTCATGAAGAACATAAAATAAATAAATATAATAATAGCACTTACTATGTGCCAGACACTGCTCTGAGTCAGTGCTTTACGTATATCCACTCATTTAATTCTCACAAGAACCTTCTAAGATAAGTACCATTATTTTGCCCATTTTAAAGATGAGGGACCTCAGGCACAGAGTGGTTATATAACTCGCCCAAGGTTACATAGCTAGTTTCTAACAGAACCAGGATTTGTACCCAGGCAGGTGGCTCCAGAGTCCATTGTCTAAACTACTATGCTACGGTTCAGAGAGGAAGAGAGCAGATGGAATCTGGTAGAACGGAAGAAGTGGTAGGTAGTTCAGGAACAGGCATTTTTATTGACTGTAGATAAAAAGATGAGTAAGACCATGGTCCATGCCCTTGAAGAGGAAGACAGGTAGGTGAGGAAGACAGGTAGCAAATGCGGCAAGGTTTGAAGTCCAGAGACCCATGTACAAAGGGTCATGGGGACATGAAGAATGAGCACCTCACCTAGCCCAGGTGGAAGGTGTCAAGAAAGGCCTCTTAGAGGAGGTGACTTCTGGTCTAAAAATTATGAGTTGAAATGGGGAGAGGGTGGTCCCAGCTAAGTATGTGAGGGGGGAAAAAGCCCAAAGGCAAGGAAGGAGGGTGTATTTGGGGAAAAACAAGTTAGATAACACAGAGCTCAATAAATGGTAATTCCTTTCTACCTCCTTCTCTTGGGATGAAATCGGGCTCCACATCTCCCTAGGAAAAGCCCCATGTTTAGAACTTCGGAAACACAGGAAAATTATGCTGGCCCTCTTGAAAAGTAGCTTTAGTGAGCATCCCACTGCTTAGCCCTGGGCTGGCTCAATAAGAAACAGGTATTCTACAGTTTTCCTCCAAAGGGAACTTGTTTTTGTTTACCTCCTATAGGCATCAAGCTGCTTCAAAAATTGCCCATATTCTTGACATAGGGCTTCTTTCTCTTGTTGTAACCCAGATAGCTGGTCTGACAATTCCTGGTTACTCTTGATATGCTGAAAAACATTAGAAAAATAAGTAAGACTACTCTATGCTGGTAAAGGTAGGATACTGACAGAATGTAAATTTGCCAAGTCTTTCTGCTGAAAAGGCTCATAGTTACTCCAGCTTCTGAGATCATAGTAGCTTCATATGATTCCTCTACTTTCAGATTTCCTGAAAGCCAGAAGCTGTTTTCCTTGACTTTTGTTCCCCCAGCCGTCCTAATAATTTTGTAATATAATTCCCTATGTTAAAAATCTTCCACCTTGAAGTATATAAAGTGAAAGCTGTCGTCCTCACCTAATCCTAACAAAGTATTTGGTTCTAGAAGTGGCTGCAGTAAAAAGAAACTCACAGGTGGGGATCTGGGATTGGTTATCTGACCTGGTCAGATCTGAAGGTAGTATGATCTTGTCACTAGTACTATTAATCCATGGCAAAGAGTTGATTAAATTAGCACTTATAGTGACCTGTAATGAAGTGCTTTGGGAGACCACATGACTGGTACAAAGATATTATAGTGAACTTGAGAACTGCAAGGACTGTGGGGTGTGCTGGCCACATATGACCATACTAATGAGCTTAGAAGGAGAAAATGGCCAGTTTGTAGATTTAATTACTAGAAAAAGGCACAGTGAGAGAACCAGAGAGCTTCTATGAGTGCCCAAAAAGAAGCCTCTTCTCTCTTGTAGCCGGAAGGCCAGTGTATCAAAAAATCAAATCCCCAAGTTTCATCAAGAGGATTGCAGAAATACAGTACAAATTGGTTTCATAGCCTTGCCAGGTCTCTTATGTGAAAAACAAGGCTTTGGGAATGCATAGAAACCTGAAGACTGGGCATGAAGACATCTGAGAGGACTCCAAAGACAATGAGTCCTGTGCACCTCTGAATTCTACTGATCTCTCTTGCCAGTACAAGCAGTCCTTCCTCTGCTGTCTAATGAGATTAAGCACCCTTGCTTTGAGGACCCTATTGATTTCACCTTGTAAGAGGATTCCTATTGTCCTCAAGACCCACCTCAGTATCACTACCACTTCTTAATACCTCTAATCCCACAACTAGAGTCAGAATCCAGCTCGCCATGGGGAGTGGAGGTTGAGTATAGGAACTAATCTAGGATGGCCAAATTGAAACAACGGCAAGATTTTGCCAACTTCAATTGGCAGAAAGCTGAGGAATAAATTTGTTTTTTTGGACTCTTAAAAAAACTTTGTTTAATTGAAACATAATTGATTGTACATATCTGTGGGGTACAGCATTGAGTATCAATACCTGTGTGCAATATGTGATGCTCATATCAGGATAATTAGTATATTCAACATTATACAATGTAATCATTTTTTTTTTTGGCCCTTTATCAATTTCTTGCTAACCCTCTCTCTCTCCCTCCCCCTTTCCCACTTTTAGTGACCTCAGTTTTGTTCTCTCCTTTTGGGAGTTTAATGAACTATTGTGATTGTTGTATCTTCATTTTTTAATTTGCGGATTTTTTTAGTTTCGACTTATGAGTGAGGACATGTGGCATTTCCGTGCCTGGCTTATTTCACTTAACATAACTTTCTATAAGTTCATCCAATGTTGCTGCAAATGGCAGAATTTAATTCTTCTTTTATGGCAGAGTAGTATTCCATTGCATATATATAACACATTTTCCTTATCCAGTCATCCATTGGCTGACAGCTAGGTTGGCTCCAACTCTTGGCTGTTGTAAATAGAGCTGCGACAAACGTGGGAGTGCAGGTATCCCATGATGATTTCCATTCCTTTGGGTATCCAGGAGTAAGACTGCTGGATTATGTGGCAGTTCAATCTGTAGCTGAGGAAACTCAAAACTGTTTTCCATAATACCTGCACTAATTTACAGTCCCATCAACAGTGTAGTGTAGGAGGGTTCCTCTTTCTCTGCAGGCTTGTCAGCATTTGTTATTCTCTGTCTTTTTGATAATAGCCAGTCTAACTGGGGTGAGATATCTCAATATGGTTTTGATTTGCATTTCCCTGATGCTTAGTGATGTTGAGCATTTTTTCATGTGTCTTTTAGCCATTTGTATATCTTCCTTTGAGAAATGCCTATTCAGCTCCTTTGCCCATTTTTCATTTGTGTTACCTGTTTTTTACTCTTAAGTTGTTTGAGTTCCTTGTATATTCTGGATATTAATTCTTTGTCAGATGCATAGTTTGCAAATATTTTCTCCCATTCTTGGTAGGTTGTCTTTTTACTGTTAATTGTTTCTTTTGCTGTGCAGAAGTTTTTTAGTTTGATATAATCCCATATGTTTATTTTTTATTTTGGTACCTGTGCATTTGGGGTCTTATTCATAAAGTCTTTGCCCAGTCCTACTTCCTGAAGTATTTCCCCTATGTTTTCTTTCAGAAGCTTTATAGTTTCTGGTCTTATAAGTGTTTAATCCACTTTGAGTTGATTTTGGTATATGGCAAGAGATACAAATCTAGTTTCATTCTTCTACACACGGATGTCCAGTTTTCCCAGAACCATTTATTGAAGAAGAATTCTTTTCCCCAATGTGTTCTTGGTGCCTTTGTCAAAGATCAGTTGGCTGTTAAGTATGTGGGTTGATTTCTGGGTTCTCTATGCTGTTCCATTGGTCTGAATGTCTGTTTTTATGCCAGTACCATGCTGTTTTTTTACTGTAGTTTTGTAGTATAATTTAAAGTCAGGCAGTGTAATGCCTCCAGCTTTATTTATTTATTTATTTATTTATGCTTAGGATTGCTTTGTTTATTTGGGATGTTTTGTTTTCCATATGAATGTTAGGATTGTTTTTTCTGTTTCTGTGAAGAATGTCATTGGTATTTTGATAGGGATTACATTGAGTGTGCAGATCACTTTGGGTAGTATGGACATTTTCACAATGTTAATTTTTCCAATCTGAGAACATGGAATGTCTATCTTTTTGTGTCCTCTTTAATTTCTTTCAGCAGTGATTTGTAGAGATCTTTCACCTCCTTTGTTAAATTGATTCCTAGGTATTTTATTTTTTTGGTGATGATTGTAAATGGGCTTGTTTTCTTGATTTCTTTTTCTGCTAGTTTGTTATTGGAGCATAAAAACACTGATTTTTGCATGTTGATTTTGTATACTGCAACTTTACTGAAATTGTTTATCAGCTCTAAAAGTTTTCTTGGTAGTCTTTAGGTTTTTCTAAATAAAAAATATAGGATCATGTCATCTATAAACAGGGATAGTTTGACTCCATTTCTTCCAATCTAGATGCCCTTTGTTTCTTTCTCTTGCCTGACTGCTCTGGCTAATACTTCCTATATTATGTTAAATAGGAGCGGGGAGAGTGGGCATCCTTGTATTGTTCCCATTCATTCAGGATGATATTGGTAGTGGGTTTGTCATATATGGCTTTTGTTGTATTGAGATACTTTCCTTCTATACCTAATTTGCTGAGAGTCTTTATCATGAAGGGATGTTGAATTTTGTCAAATGCTTTTCTGTGTGTATTGAGATAATCATATGGTTTTTGTCCTTGATTTTGTTGATGTGGTGTATCACATTTATTGACTTGCATATGTTGAACCATCCTTGCATCCCTGGGGTGAATTCCACTTGATTGTGGTGTATAACTTTTTGATGTGTTGTTGTATTCTGTTTGCTGATATTTTTTTGAGGACTTGCATGTAAGTTCATCAAAGATATTGGCCTGTAGTTTTCTTTGTTCGTTGAATCTTTGTCTGGTTTTGGTATCAGGGTGATGCTGGTCTCATAGAATGAGTTTGGGAGAATGGCCTCTATTTCACTTTTTTGGAATAGTTTGAAAAGAATTGGTATTAATTCCTCTTTAAAGTTTTGGTAGAATTCAGCAGTAAATTATCTGGTCCTGGGCTTTTCTTTGTGGGCAGACTGCCGAGTACTGCTTCAATCTTGTTGCCTGCTATTGGTCTGTTCAGGTTTTCTATTTCTTCTTAGTTTAGTCTTGATAGTAGTTTGTATGTGTTGAGGAGCATATTTTTAGGGAGTTTTACTAGGGAGGAAGGAATATAATGTTGAATAGGCCAAATTTATTGATATGAATGCACTTACCAGAGATTCAGGATTTAATGTGTTAATATGAATATCCAAGAATGACTTTAATAGTTTGGTTGGTTGACTGAAACTTGGACTCAACAGTGACCTATATTGAATTAAACTTCTTTGACATATGGGAAAGGAAGGAATCCAAAGGCTTTGGCAGAGAGGAAATTTGGAGTGGATTTATCATGGGTAACCTGCTTACCAATCTCATAACCATAGGGATTCAGCAGACACCCTCTTCACCAAGGCTTTACTAAATACTTTGAGCAGCAGATTCCTTGAAATGCTCTATAATGCTAGCTTGCTGAGGATGTTGGTGGGAGTGCCAACATTGAAATGGCTTCCTGATTTCAACTGGAATGATGGTACTACAGGGTGTCAGAGGTCAAGTGGTAGGGCTTAACCCCCAGATACAAGGTGGGCATTATCACTGTTAGTAGGCAATAGGGCCAGAGATATAAATCAAATGGTTTGACTCACAGCAATCTGGTTGCGGTTAGTTGAATACAGTGATTATAGGACTAAAATAGACAGGCAGCCTATTACAGTCTTACTTGAGTTGTATTTTTAAATAAATAAATAAATAAATAAATAAATAAAAACCTGTGGGTCTGGTGAAAAGAAGCCCAATTTAAATAAAAAGAATGGAGAGTAATGACCTTTTCTTGCTCAATTCCTAGACGATTCACAGATTGAGTCCTTTGAATGGTGGGTATGCCAGGTTTTCTTTAGGAAAAATCCTCTGATACCGTCATAAGTATATGATCTCCCAAACCTTCTCCAAAGAGACCTTTGATCTTTTATCAAGGTGACTTAGCCTTGGAGAAAGGGAGTTATATAGAGTTTTGGGGGATTACAATACAGTGGCTCTGAGTCAACACTAACACCTTGGAACCTTGGAACCCAAAACACCACTGAGCTTCACAATTCAGAGTGGGGGGCTGAAGGAAACAACATGAAAAAATGGAATT